TACAGGTAGGATGAGTTTGCTGGTTTGTGGCAGGGTGGTTTTTTCTTCTTCCTAAAAATGGGATTTAGTGGATTTTTAGCTTCCCGGGTTTCATCTGAACCAATGACTTGGAATTTAAGACAATGGCTACGTGCTTTCGACTGGGTTTGGAATTTGTGATCTAAAAGGGTTCTTTGATCATTTTGTTATATGGCTAGAAGATGAGATGATTTTTAGTGGCTTTAAAGGAATATAATGAAGCGTTGGACACGTCAACATCGACCAAGACCAGAGCAACATTTAAAAAAGGGGCAAAATCGCCGGGGAGTGTGGCTTCTTGTTGCTAGGGGGCTCCCAGCCTTCTGCGTGGCCGGAGAAGAAGCGGCGGTGCAGGGAAACAGGCATGAAGAGTAGAAAACTGATTTCTGGCCGGGCACGGTGGCTCACACCTGTAATGCCAGCACTTCTGGAGGCCGAGGTGGGCGGATCACCAGAGGTCAGGAGTTCAAGACCACCCTAGCCAACATGGAGAAACCCCATCTCTACTAAAAATACAACAACTCAGCAGGGTGTGGTGGCAGGCGCCTGTAATGTCAGATACTCAGGAGTCTGAGGCAGGAGAATTACCTGAACCCAGGAGGCGGATGTTGCAGTGAGCCGAGATCCTGCCATTGTATTCCAGTCTGGGCAAAAAGACGGAAACTCCACCTCGAAAGTAAATAAATGAAGAAATAAATAAGTAAAATATAATGAATCTAGAGGACTGCATGGTGTCCTATAGCATGATGGTTAAAAGTTGGGGTTTTGGAAACAAGTCAGCCTTGAAATTGCAGCTTTGCTGCTGCCTGAGCCACTGGACCTTCTGAGCCTGGTTTTCCTCCTGTGTCAACTGAGGGTGGTGACTTGGGCTCCCACTCAGGGGTTGAAAGAGATTCTGCAGCCTCTGGAGCTGCCACTCATCATGTCATCACTGGGTCTGCTGTTCTCGGTACATGCCTGGGTGCAGGTTTCTATGACTTCTCAACAGAAGTGGCAGTCTCAGGCGAACGCTGTAACAATGGCCATCCCTTGAGGTGCCTGTTTCTTTTCTTTTTTTTTTTTTTGAGACGGAGTCTTGCTCTGTCGCCCAGGCTGGAGTGCAGTGGCTGGATCTCCGCTCACTGCAAGCTCCGCCTCACGGGTTCACGCCATTCTCCTGCCTCAGCCTCCCGAGTAGCTGGGACTACAGGCGCCCACCACCTCGCCCGGCTAGTTTTTTGTATTTTTTAGTAGAGACAGGGTTTCACCATTTTAGCCAGGATGGTCTCAATCTCCGCCTCCCAAAGTGCTGGGATTACAGGCTTGAGCCACCGCGCCCGGCCAAGTTGCCTGTTTCTTGCTCTGTTTTTATTTAAAGATCTGTGGAAATGTTGAACAGGAAAAATGAACCGCAATATCCAGAACGAAAATAAACTAGGCAAAGTATTCTTGATTTAAAAAAAAAAAATTTTATATATAATACAAAAATTAGCCAGATGTGGTGGCGATCACCTGTAATTCCAGCTACTTGGGAGGCTGAGGCAGGAGAACCACTTGAACCCGGGAGGCAGAGGTTGCAGTGAGCCGAGATTGTGCCATTGCATTCCAGTCTAGGCAACAAGAGCAAAATTCTATCTCAAAAACAAACAAACAAACAAAAAGCCTTTTATCTCAGGTTTAGGGGAGCATGTGCAGGACTGTTATATAGGTAAACTCCATGTCTCGGGGGTTTGGTGTACAGGTTATTGAGTCACCCAGGTAATAAGCGTAGTACCCAATGGGTATTTTTTTTTATCCTCTCCCTCCTCCCACACTTCACCCTCAAGTAGACCCCGGTATCTGTTGTTCCCCTCTTTGTATCCAAGCATTTCTGATTAATGAACCTAAAGAAATAGCGAAAGAACAAGCGAAACAAATCTGTTCTCTTTGCTGCTCCACTCCCCCCTCTCTCTAGAAAACAACGGTTTTAACCTTAGCTGCAGATTAGAGTCACCTGGGGTGCTTTTAACATTCCCTTTGCCAGGCCCCACACTTGAACATTGTGATTTAGTTGCCTGGTCCAGGCATCAGTATTTTTTTTTTTAAGAGATGGGGTCTTTCTCTGTTGCCCAGGCTAGAATGCAGTGGTGTAATCATAGCGCACTGTAGCCTTGAACTCCTGGGCTCAAGAAATCCTCCCACCTCAACTTATTGAGTAGCTGGGACTATGGACACGTGCCACCATGCCTGGCTAATTTTTAAAAAGTTTTGTAGAGATAGAGTCTCACTATGTTGCTCAGGCTGGTCTCTAACTTCTGGGCTCAAGCAATCTCCTGCCTCAGCCTCCCAAAGTGCTGGGAATATAGGCATGAGCCACTGTGCCCGGCTGGCCTCAGTATCTTTTGAAGTTTCCCCGATGACTCTACAGAGCAGCTACAGTTGACAGCCATTGCCCTGGAATCATCGTGTTCACTCACATTTCATTTTTACAAGGACTGTAATTGGAAAGACACATTTGGTCATAAGGAAGAGGAAACAGACAACTCATGTCTCATACAAATCACAAGTACCTCCCGCTGGAAGTAGCAGGCCTCTGGGAAGGTTCTAGAAAGAATGGGTCCCTGTCTCTGGAGCTGTGCTTCTGAGCAACTGCCTGGCTGGGGCGCCCCCGCTCACTGGGTGGTCACTAAGCTTCACACACTCTCCCCAGCTACGCTTTCCTCCTTCATGCTTCCTTCTCCTTGCTTGACTGGACTCCAACCAGGATGACTCTTTTTCTTCATCATTAAAAGAGTCATAAGTGCTCACGGGAGAAAAATAAAGTCATATAGAAGAAGACAGGCTGGGTGCGGTGGCTCACGCCTGTAATTCCAGCACTTTGGGAGGCTGAGGTGGGTGGATCACTGGAGGTCAGGACTTTGAGACCAGTCTGGGGAAGATGGTGAAATCCCATCTCTACAAACAATGCAAATTTAAAAAAAA